TTCTGTCCTGCAACAGAAAAATCAGACACAGATAAAGGGGGCCTTTGTATGGAATGTTCCAAAACCTGACCTGCAAGAAGACCCAACCCAGTCCTACAGAATCCCTGTGCTCATCACCTGTAGTAGTCAGAGAGGAGAGACCTCTTCTTATATAGAAGGGAAACCTCTCCTCTCCATTTACCATGTGCTTACTAGCCTGGAAAGGTGCTCAGGGACAAGGAGGAGATGGAAAGTGTGTCTTTGAGGGATCATAGCAGTAGATCTGCAGCACAGGAGTGTGGGGCAGTGATGTGCACCAGCTGCAGAGAGCACATTTTATGCACAGAGAAAGTTAGTATCAGCAAATGTAGATATGATTCCCAAGAAGGTCCAAAACACATCATTAAAGGTCACCACCAGCCATGCTCCTGGGCTTCAGTGATGCTTATGAGGTACAGAGTGCCCATGTACAGAGCCCAACATGTTAAATACTGCAGAACAGTTGACCCCACTGTCCATCATCCTTCGAGTAAGAAGTCCCATCACCCTCCTCCACAGATGAGAAGACTGGGTCTCAGGATGGTTAGGTGACTTTCCTAAAGAGCAGAAGATCCAGAGGGAAACTGAGTCTCAGGGTTTCCAACATTTATGCCTGAACAACCCCAGATAGTCCCAGACAAACTGGGGCGCTGGAGTCTGTGCTCCAGGCCAAAATCAAGGCAAAGAAGACAGGATGTGGTTAGGAGTCAGAGGGGGAGGGGTTCTCTTTGAAGTTTCCCATGAGCGAATTGTACTTTTGGAGTACACTGAGGAGCGATCCCATCTGTATGTATAACTATAGTGCCCCAATTAAAAAATGGGAAAAAAGTACACTGAGGCAACCAGCTGCCCTCCCCCAACTCAGATGAGCCTGGCATCTGGCCCAGTGCACCCTGCCAGGGAGCTGAGCTGCTGCAGAGAGAAGTGAGGGTGCAGCTGCCTGGAGGAGGTGGGAGATCTCCTGGGAGTTCAAGTCCTTGGCAGCAAGGATCAGGAGTCAGCTTGACCCAAGGGGGGCTGATCAGAGCATCAGAAAGGTAATACCTGCTGGCAGTGCTCAGGCATGGCTCTAGTCCCAGTGACTTGGGAGCCTGTGGCAGGAGGATCACATGTTTGAAGCCAGCCTGGGCCACTAGGAGACCTGGCCTCATAGTGAAGATTAAAAAGAGCTGGGAAGTAGCTCATTCATAGAGAGCACTTGCCTCGCTTGCACAAGGTCCTGGTTTCAATCCCTAGTACTGGAAAAAAAATCAGCACACATGTACTGAAATACAACAGATTGGTTCTAGGAAACACGTTTAAGTAATGAGAAAGATTCAAGTGTATCTAGATGAACTGTACTCAGGGAACCCAGTTAGAAACCACCATAAAACACAAGGCTACAAGTCAGCACTGATAAGGGAGCTATATACACGTGAATAGAACCATGTGGCAGAGCGCACCCCAAACTGCTTCAGGGGGAAGAGAGGACACAGGGGTTCTGGGAGAAAGGCTGATTCTTTATGCTCAGGGCTTCCACTTGGATTTTGGTTTCTTCTTTTTTAAAAATTCTCTTTCAACATCCCTTTATAAGTGCATTATATTTGTACATAATGATGAGTGTCCTGTTGCCTATACACACCTGCAGCAATATAGCAATATAATATGCCCAGTATCACTCCCTAACACCTCCCCCTCATTCCCT